GACCTCCAGCCAAGGCAGGTAGAGAGGTGGTTTCGATGCCGCCTGAATCAGGACCGGCCCAACTTGACCAAGAAATTCTCTGAAGCCAGGTGAGTGGGAGCTGTTGGGGCAGGGTGGTCAACAGGCAGCCCATGGGCACCGGTGCACCCCTTAGTGCCCAACAGGATCTCTGTCCCATCGGACCCTCCAAGAAGATTGTGAACGATTCCAGAAGGAAGTTTGTGTGATGCAAAGGGAAGTGTCACCCTCCAGCATCTTACGATATGTGCAGCAAAGCTTTTGGCTTGTCAACCAGTCGAGGGCCCCATTGGGTTGTTAGAGAGCACATCTGGTGGGTTGTTTGTGGTGACTGGCCGTGCCAAGGAGGGCAGGCAGTTTGTGGACGGACAGGCGTGTCTCCTATTGTAACTGCTAATGAATCCACCCACCGTACCCTCAACACTCCATATGTGATCCCCAACCCAGCCAGGTGCTTAGCCCTGTTAGGATGTGGGATTCATTTGGAAGCTCAGCAGGGTCAAACCTGGTTAATACAGTGGATGTCTTGCACCCAGTCAGCTGGACTAGATGACCTTTGTGTTCCCTTCTAGCTCTGGAATCCCTGGATCTCCTGGCTTGCTGTCCAATGTGCCCTGATGGTTTTTTCTGATTGTTTTCCAGCTGGAGAGGCATCTACTATGTTATTTCCTTCTGCACGGGGTTGGCTGTCCTTTATGATGTGAGTTCCAACGGTTTCCCCACTTTTGTTGGTTGTTGTCAAAAAAGACACTTCAACATGTGTAATGTAGCTGACTCTTCTCTGCCTCCCAGCCCTGAATATTTAATGCTTTCCTTTTTTATTAGAAAACGTTGGGAGTGTAGGAAAGAAAGTGTTCATTTTCCAACGTCTTTCAAACTTCTTAGTAACCAGAGTTGCTTTTTCATGCAGTGGTCTCCTTTCCCTCCCATCATCCCCTTAAAAGGGAGCTCCAGGGAAGTGTTGGTGGGCTGGTATGATGTGATCCCTAATACGTTGTGTCTTCTTGCAGAAACCCTGGTTCTGGGATCTCCGCCAATGTTGGGTTGGGTATCCACAGCAGGTAAGGAACGAGGAAGACATTTGAATGAAGATTTCGATGGAAATTGTTAATCAATTAGCATCCCCCTTTGCAAAAATGGTATGAAACTGCAATGCACCCTGCCTTTCCATGCATAGCATTTATCCAAGCTTTAAAAATTCAATTCTTTCCATTTCCTACAGCTAAAAAGCAACACACCTAAGTGATTAAACAGTTATAAGGAATAGCACATGAGACCGAGTGCCAACACACCACCAACACTTTGTTCTGGGCAAAACCATAGGATGATGTGGTCAGGAGGGGGAGAAATGAAAATTAGCGTACACCAGCCACTCTGAACCTAGAGTTGTATGCAAAAGTTTATAAATGTCAGTGAACCCCTAAGAGTACAACAGCTGAAACAGGTTCTACATGGTACAAAGTTGAACACTACACCTTTTTGCAAATGTGGATGCCTGCTTACTATTTCTGTGAAGCTGTGAACAGATTCAAAGTAAGAAAATGGTGAATGTGGTAGATGGAGAATTTTGGATGCTCTTCTGATCAGGGCTTTTAACACCACCATTAGTAGAAATAAGAACTTCCAAAAGTTTCTTTTGTAGCCACCAAAGAGTCTTTCCATTCCTGTTTGGAAATTTCCTACTCTTCCTTTCAGAACTGTCCTACCTGAGAAAGTTTCTTCAATCTCCTTGCCTGCACTGCATGTTTCAGGTCTCCCCTCCCTCCCCCCGATTTTCAGTGATATTTAGGTTTAGGGAACAAGAAGGCCATTTAAAATCCTTCCCCAATGCCCTGCTCAAAGCTCTAGTGATAGCAAATTGATTGTGCTGAAATGAACAGTTTTTCTTCCTTTAGTCCTTTACAGAACCCTATCAAGTTTTCACAGAACCATCGAGTTCTGCAGAAGACAGTGGAAAAAAACAGTTTGCACTATTGTCTTGCTGAACTGTCTCTTTTTAGCTTCAAATCTTTCACTGGTTGAATCAACATTGTAGGATATATTGATATTTAGTTGCATCTATTCTTCTTTCCAGCCACACAGTGTTCCCTGCGCCATGGGCTGCATGCAACCTTGGCACCTAATAGACCAACCCTGTGCTTGGTGGCCAGCAAGAGCTTCTGTTTTCCTTGAATGGTTCAGAAAGTTTCAGGCATATGTGAGACCATGGCTTTGCAATGAGGTTGGAGAAAGGCTTTCCTTTTGCGCAGTTGTATGAGCAGTGCTGTGCTGTGGACCGGCAGATAACCTTTTCAGTGTCAGCTAAGTTTTCAACTGGTCATTTGCGGTCATCCATGGGCTGTATTTCCACATCTGACCAGTCTGGAGCCAGTTTTAGCAGAGATTTTCTTGCTGTTGCAGGTGTTAGGCACAAGCCTTTGTTTATTCGTTTACCCAAGTTCAGAGAACCAAATAAACTTGAGACGAGACTTTGTAACTAACAGAAGTTTTATTGGCCAAGTAACATTCTGGATGGCTCATTCAACACCATGGCAAGGTGTTGAGGAGAACCACACCTTGCAA